GAATTAGAATTGATACGATCTCTCGTAAATACGAAAAGCTTTGTAAATAAGCAAAGTTGATCAGGAAATAACGAGATAATTGGCCATCCGATCATCTCTATAATATTTATTTATAAATGTTAATCAGTTTTAGTGTATTCTTTGAACATACAATCTATAATAACGAAAACACTGGCAAGGTGTGTGGTAAAGAGATCTTTGACAGTACTTAGCCAAAACGGAAGATATAGTCAGGAGACACACAAGCCTCAGAATTCTTGTGTCATGTCGATGTCAGCTATTCTTTAAAAAAATTCAAGAGGCTGTAGTTTTGTTTGTTGTTAAATGGATGACGATCTATTTCTTAGACAAAAAGTTGGATATAAAATGAGTAGTAGAAGAAAAGAAAAGAAGAGAGAAAGGTAAACGAACCTACATTTCAAGAAGAACGTCTTTGCCACTTTATGACTTTACAACAAAAAAATCTGTAGTTTTGTCCTTTTGGTAATTGCTGGTTATGGTGAGTCAAACGCGTTTTTGCTTCTCGTCATCTTCAGTCATTGGTAAGCAGGGCACTTGCACTTACCTATACTAGGTGTAAACGAATTAAAAATACTGTTAAACCTACCTCTATTGGAAATATTTACATGGAGAACCTAGGAACAGCACATCCTGGCTCAAAAAAAAAAAAAATTGGATAGTGAATAAATTCCAAATAGGTCGTCAAGTCGTCAATTATTTCACATTGTAACACTAAAGATAAATATTAATTCAATTAATTTTTCTTTTTATTTAACGTCTTAGTGGAGATGAAAAAGCTAGTGTCATGAGTGGGATTCGAACCCACGGCCCCACGGCTAGACCTATTAGCCGAAGGTCGTGGGTTCGGATCCCGCTCGTGACACTAGCTTTTTCATCTCAACCAAGATTTTAAATGAAATTAAAATAATTAATACGGTAAATTATGACCGTCAAACATATATGGATTAATATAAATATTAATCTTTTTATGGAAGGTATTGGTTGAAATGAATAAGTTAGTGTAACGAGCGGGATTCGAACTGACGACCTTCGGCTCAATACGCCACTGCTCTAACCACCTGAGCTATCGTGACATCAAGTGGTTAGAGTAGCAGCGTATTGAGCCGAAGATCGTGGGTTCGAATCCCGCTCGTGACACTAGCTTTTTCATCTCAACCAAGATTTTAAATGAAATTAAAATAATTAATACGGTAAATTATGACCGTTAAACATATATGGATTAATATAAATATTAATCTTTTTATGGAAGGTATTGGTTGAAATGAAAAAGTTAGTGTCACGAGCGGGATTCGAACCGACGACCTTCGGCTCAACACGCCGCTGCTCTAACCACTTGAGCTATCGTGACTTCAAGTGGTTAGAGTAGCGGCGTATTGAGCCGAAGGTCGTCGGTTCGAATCCCGCTCTTGACATTAACTTTTTCATTTCAACCAATACCTTACGTAAAAAGATTAATTAATTGAAAAAAGTTATTTGGTCAATCAGGCCAATATATCAAATGTATTTATTAATTAGTAAAAAAAGCAATGTCAAATTAAAATAATTTCCAGAAATAAACTAAGTGCTTGAAAATAGTACAGGATTCGAAACGTCGTATATTTTAATAATTTCTTAGGCTAAAAATAAAATTTAAAAATAAGAGATATTAAACCATTCATAAAGGGAAATTTTTCCCAAAA